GATAGGAAAATGCAGAGCTAGTGCATATGATTCCTTCTGTATGTAGTGCACTGACACAAGAAGCAAAATTAGGTGAAAATCCTCTGCATTATTCTGCTATCACAAACCCTTGGCGGTTAGTTTAGATTTGACTTAGGGCTTTGTTTAATCCCTTATAAATTTTGATCGTCGAGAGGGGATCAAAGCCTACCACTATTCTGAATTCTGAAAGCTACCCTGCGCCATTTGTAAAAGTGGCATCCCTTTCTTGCTAGCAGAACCCGACAATAGCAGAGTTTGTTATGAAAAGCTGACCTCAAAGGGGGGGAAATGATGCTGCCGAGGAATATTCCAGGCATTCGGTAGTGTAAATGTGATGCGATTTTATAACGGAGATGTAATTACCACGGAGGAAAAGCAGCAAAAGTTCAAAAATTCTTGGACACGGATTCTTGTAGTTCCTCTCAATGCACAATTTTACAGGTACCTGTTACTGTCAGTTATATCAGTGACCTGTACTACATGCTTGTGTTGAGCTGTTCTTTTTGCTGTACTGCAGAATCAATACCTTCATGGACAATACCTTCACTGTCCATACCTCAAAAATATTTCTGGAATCTTCCTTGCTGCAGTCTGCAGAATTCTACACTGTATCTGCCAAGCAAATGAGGCAGTACCACTTGCCATATCTGAACCTCTTGAGCTTCAGTTCCGCGTCTAATTGCGCCTTAATTTTTAACTGAAAATAATGATAATTCATGTGCCACCGTGCATTTACAATAGTAGGAAAAAGCCCGCTGCAAAAAAAGCTGCTGTGTGTTTCATTTTTGTGCTAAATTTAGTATTTTCTCCAGAAGCCTCTTTATGCTTATCGCCTGTCATTATGATCTCTAGAGTTTCAGTTCCATGCTGAATGGCGCCTGAAATTCTAGTGAAAATACTTTATTTTCAGAGTTTCGGTCCAGTGCTGAACTGCGTTTTGAATTCTACTCTGCATACTTTATTTCTTGAGTTTCAGTCCAGTGTCAAACTGCGCTTTAAACTGAAAATACTGACATTTACTCTGTGACTGTTTTTTCTTCCGGTACAGTGTCAAATCGCACCTTAGATTCTACTAAAAAGGCTGACTTTTTAGTTTCAGTTCCTTGTACTGGAAATACTGATATATTTTTAACTCAGCTTTAAACACTAGTGAAAATACCAATAGTTGTCTGATAAAAAAAAGAAGAAAATACCAATAGTTTCCGTGTCGCCGTGCAATAATAATAGTACCAATAGTTGCGTTGGTGCTTTTGATCGCAGTTTATAATGATAATGCAAGAAACGACTAGCCTGTCGTGCAAGAATAGGTGCCAAATGTTTAGCCTTTTTCCTCCTTTTTAGCACTGAGAGTGCGAGACATTAATCGCCTTTAGTTTACGTGTATTTTCTTGGGGGAAAGAAAAGAAAGAAGTGTTTTATGCTTATTCCTTGTTATTTGCACTGATGTTATACATATATAATCTCTGGAGTTGTGATGCCAAACCAGTGGACATTACAACGCCTTGTCAAGATAAAAAAAATTGGTTAGGAATTGGCAAAAAGGGTCCTAAGTAATGTTTCTATATATACCTGGGTTCCCTCTCCACTGCCAAGAAAAGGACGCATATATTCTGCTGTAACCTTGGCCAGAGGGATTACTATTACGTACGCCCCATGTTTGTATTTTGGAGCGGTAGAAAAACTGCAACAGGAAGTTAGGGCTCCTTTGATTCAAAGGATTTCCATAGGAACTTTGGAGGATTAGAATCATTATGAATTTTTTTTTATGTTGGTTGTTTGATTCATAGGATTGAAGAAACTTTTTTCATACTTCCCAAGATTTCTAGCATCCACTCCAACCTCTTTGAAAAAAATCGTTTGTTTTTCGTATGATGCAATCAAACAGCTTAAAATCCTGTAGGACTAAGATGAACATGACATTCCAATCCACAGTCCCGCGTTTTTAGAATCTGCGAATGGAAGAACGATTTCATTTGGGTGGCTGTGGAGCCGAGCGCCCTGCGTTGTGCGGTGCGGTGGCGCTGAGCGAGAGGAAAGAGGAGCGCGTGGAGCTGACCCGCTCGTGCGTCGTGTGGCGGGCGAAGGAATTGGAAGGCGAGGGCAAGCGGGCGTTGGATTGCCGTCCACGCGTCGGCCATCCGGGGCGGGGCTCTCTATAAATACCTCTGCATGCCTCCTTCAGTTAGCATCCGGGCAAGAACTAGCGCGCGCTCTCGCTCTCTCTTTTCTCTCCCTCTCCCTCTCACCACCAGCAGACCAGCTCCGTGCGTGCGTGCGTACGTACGTGACCACCATGAGCTCCTCCGGTACGTACTGTACGTACTTGTCTTGCTGTGCTTCTTCCACGGCGACTCGTTTTTCAGTAAGATGGACCGACCGACCGACCGATCTTGTTGATGGTTTGCAGGCGCCCGCGGTGTCCGTCGAGAGTACGGCCGGACCTATGTGGTGAGGCCCAAGGGGAGGCACCTGGCCACCATTGTGTGGCTCCACGGCATAGGCGACAACGGAAACAGGTTCCTTCCTATACTTACCGGATACATACATACATACTCCATGTTGCACTGCACTTGTCTGTTTTGTTTGTTTTTGTCTTGGTTTTGAATTGATTTTCTTCCGAGAGGCACGAGTGACATGTGATCTTCCAAGCTCAGCTGCAAATCAACCACTAGCTCCTGTCCTCAGTAGGAACATATGCTAGCTAGATACTAGAGATACAAGCACAGGCTTGAGCCACTTCTTGTCTGAATGCATGCGACCTGCTGTACTAGCTAGTTAGACACACGACACCAGGGAAGTGTGAAGGCACGTATGCATGGCATAGGGTCGACCCATTTTGTCATATGCCACAACCGGAACCACTACACACTGATTATTCCTTCCTCACTTCTCACTTGTCTCTTATTCCCCACCGCTTTTCTTTTCTGATGGAGTACTTGTACACACGCGTCATTCAGTCAGTCGAATATATGCAAGTGCATGTTTTGCAAGAGGAACGTGAACTAAAACTGTATATATATCTACACAAGTTGATGACTAGCTGCAATACTTTTTATCTCATTCATTTTTAATTAATTAATTTATGGAGACCTAATTTGTTCCTTTTCCACGGCTTCGTCTTGTGCAGTTGGTCCCAGGTCCTGGGCAATCTCCCGTTGGATAATGTAAGTTGAACACCCATCTACAATCCTATTCCTAATTCCTCCTCTTCCCCTGAGCATATCAATAGTATATGTATAGCTAATTCTTGTTATCTGAACCCTCAAGCTCAGTTATCCTCTTCAGAATAACTAGTACTGTTTGTAAGTTTAACAGCCTCGTGCATCTCCGTGCAGGTCAAATGGATTTGCCCTACTGCGCCAACGCGGCCCGTAGCGGCCTTCGGTGGATTCCCATGTACTGCATGTAAGCCTCTCAGCCTAATTAATTACATATGGGGTATGGCTTGGCTGCAGCTTTGCTTTTCCCCCAGTTTCTATAGGCTGTTTCTGGGACAGAAATGACCATCTTTGCATTGCATTGCATACTGAAATGAAACAGGGTTCGATGTGGAGGAGACTTCTGTTGACGGCCCCGACGACGTCCAAGGGCTGGACGCATCCGCCGCACACATAGCAAACCTGCTATCGTCCGAGCCCTCTGATGGTATCTCATTTTTCTTTTTCTATTACATGTACCACATTTATTTATTTAGCAAATATAGTAAGAATTACCGATGCTAATAGCGCGCAATCTCCAGTGAGGCTTGGGATAGGCGGTTTCAGCATGGGAGCTGCCACTGCGCTCCACTCTGCCGCATGTTATGGTCATGGAAGGTTCTCAAATGGGGTCGCTTACCCTATCACCCTCAGCGCCATCATTGGGTTGAGCGGCTGGCTTCCCTGCTCCAGGTCTGAGACTCTGATATTTTGGACCAAAACAGTCATGTTATTGATATATTGGTATCCGTTAAGCTCATATTCGAATATTGTTTAGGACCCTGAGGACCAAGATTGAGAGCTCACAGACTGCTTTCAGGAGGGCTGCTGCCTTGCCGATAATGCTTGGCCATGGAAGAGGTAGCATTGCTATTCTTTCGCAGTTCATGTGCTGAATTAATCTCTTCTGAATTGTGAAATTTACTACCACTAAAAATGGTTAATTTCCTTCTTTGTGTTCCTGCAGGGGACGAGGTAGTCACGTATAGGAACGGCGAGAGGTCGGCCGAGTTTCTGCGGAACTCGGGCTTTTCTTACCTTAATTTCAAAGCCTACAACGGGTACTACAGATGGACATGCACAATTTTTCCACATGCTCTCGTATTTATTTTTCTGAAATTTAGTAGTACTGACATCATGTCATTTGTGCAGACTGGGCCATCACACCATCCCTGAGGAAATGGACGATGTCTCCAAGTGGCTCAGGGCAAGGCTCGGGCTTGATCGCTCTTGCGGCTAAGTGGAGAAGCTTGTGCCTTGGTGGCTGACACATGACATGAGAGAAAAGTATTGACACTATAGAGGAGGAGAAGGTTGATATATATATAGGTTAATCATATGAAGAGATCACGACCGGCATGTGTTGATATATAAGTCCTCACTACTGAATTTCATGTTACACTTATATGATTGTACTAGTAAGAGTTGTACCCCAGTTATATTGTTTGTTTTGATTGACCACACCAGTAATTTATGACGATAGCTTTTAATATATGCTTGTGTTCTACTTCTATATCAGTCCAGTGTAGACTTTCAAGTCACGTCATATCATCATCAAAACACACCAGAGAGATTCATAAAATTCTCAGGGAAAAGATTTGGAAGATAATAACCATATATGTACTAATTACGGATTCATCAAATTCTTTGGGAAAATATTTGTGGCTATTTGGAAGATAATAAACTACACTGAGCAAATCTCAAACTAGGCGAGCTGTATGTATCAGCATCACTATACTCAAGTGGAGTATGGTTTTAAGTTGATCATCAGCTTCATCAAGATCAAATTCCACCGAGTTTGTTGATCTGGCTACCATGGTGGAGAAGATCACAAGTGTCAGTTTTTGAAGGGCCCTGCTCTAGTAGGGAGTTTGCGTCATTGCTCAGCGATGCATCGGCCTGCTGCGCCAACCCCTGATGTGCTTGGGGATCAATATTGTGCTCAAAGTCTGTATGGAAGATGATGTCCTCGAGGCCGCCGTCACTGCACAAAGGAACACATGATCAGAATGCTAACACATCCTATTTACCGTAAACTGTCACTTGCGTGTTGTTCCAATGAAATAAACAAAACCGTGGAGCGGGTGTAAACACATCACAAAGAAGACTATCACGACAAACTGTTCTTCTTTTAAGAAAGGGGACGTTCATAAAAGTTTGTCGCGGCAAAGTCTGATAAATTGGATCATAATTTGGCATCAATTGGGATTTTTGTTGGTAACAATAGCCCATCTTCATTGCTCCTCCTCTTCATATTATTGCCATAACTTACCAATTCGATTTTTTTTTCTTTTGAAATTTCACTCGGCTCGGCATAGCAGTAGCACAGGAGTAGATGGCATTTGACAAGGATGTTGAAAATAGAACTCACCCTAGGGCTTGAGTTGGTGGACCAAGATCAGCATCCATGTGACTCAATTCGCTGGGGATGTGGATATCGTCCATGATGCTTGTTTCTGTCGACTGAGAAGCCATGTCGTGGTTGATGATTGCGGACGATCCATTCGAACGGGCAAGTGTTTCACCGGAGCCGCCAGATGTTCCTTGAGGACCGTCACTATGTGCTTGTTGAGCCGCTGGCAATTGATGATGCAAGAACACGACTGAGCATAAATGTATAAATGCTATAAATAAAATAAATGAAAGTAGAAGAGAATAGATGTGTGGCGATCGATGCACTCACCGCCTTTCACTCCGAAGGTGTTGGCGCACCCTGTGCACTGGCACTTGTCGCTGCACCCGACGCTGTGCTTCGATTCGAGACAGCCGCAAATCGAGCATGAGATCGAGCACCGGCAGCACATGAAGTCATGCAAGGCAAAACAAATAAATGCAGAGGAGACGTGAGTATGCACGTACCTTGAAGCACTCGCAGTAGAGCTTCTTGCATTCAGAATTGCGGCAGTTGCATCCCTTGACGTGCACCCCTGCTGCTTGCTGCTGCTGTTGCAGCCCAGGCCCATCGCCGGCGATGATCTTGGGCTTGAAGGCGTCGGGCTTCTTCTTCATGATGCACTCTGCGCGCTCATCCACCTCGTCGGAGTTGTCCTCTGTGTTGCGGCAGCCCTGGCAGGAGCACCCCTCGTCGCAGAACACCCAGGCCTCGAAGCAATGGCAGTAGCTGCATGCATGTGAATGCGGTTTCGGTGAGGAGGACCGTAAGAGCACGTCAGCGGCGTCGCCAGTGGCTTACTTACCGCTGGAGGCACTGGGTCTTCTCGCAGGTGCAGTGCGGCAAATCGTCCATGGCGGCCAAGGAAGAAGGGTCAGAGGGAAGAAGACGAGGTAGGAGGCAGATCTGTTCGAGTCTGATGCACGGAGTCTCCGAGGAACAAAGATGTCCTATACAATACAACTGCAGACACAGAGTCCATGCAATTCTAGTCTCTTACGACGTGCTGGACTGGATATCAGGACTCTGGCTTCCTCTGCAGGTGGTGGGTCCTGTTATGTTATGTTATGGCGAGAGCTACAAATCAACCGGCTGATCCACGCAGGGGATCAACCGCCTCGCCAGCCGCATGATTAAATCATTAATAACCGTCTGATCTAACCCCTCATCTCACTCTATCATATCCCCTGCCTCGCCACTCGCGTGACAATAGGAAGAGCCGGTGGCTAGCTTCACAACGCTAAAATAGTTTCTCCATTGCCTGCTTCACATCACCGAATGGCAGGCTCCTCGTAGCACGGGCACCAATTGTACTTAGCATCGAACCCTCGGCTTCACAGCTTGTTAGCTCGCAGCTCCGCAACCCCCCTGGGATCGCAGCACGCGTCGCCGTCGTGGACCTTGCAGCAGCGCTGGTGTTACAAAGTAGCATCACCAGACGCCCACTACATAGTAGTATCCAATCGCAGCACTAGTGTTCCAATGCAGCTTCGGCGGTCGAGTCGAGGGAGATGCCCTGTCGGGTCCGGTGCACACGCAGCAGCCTTTGCAGTAGCGGTGTTGTTGCAAAGCAGCAGTATCAGACGCCCCGCTACAGCAGCCTTCACCGGCAGCATCGATGGTGTTGCAACTAGCATGACAGTGGCGGACGCCGGAGTTGAGGGAGATGCCCTGGACGTGCGCACGCGCAACAGCAATTGCAGCAGCGGTGGTGTTGCAAAGACGCCCCGCCACAACAGTCCCACGTGGTAGCGCCAAGGGTGTTGCAACACAGCACAACGGTGGGTGCCGCCAGATATTGAGGGAGATGAGCTCGCATCTCGACGAGCTCACATGCAGCAGCAGCACGATGCCACAACCTCCTTGCCGCAGCGGAGGAGCAATGGCATTTCGGTGCGGCGCGAACCACCCCATTTGCTCAGTAATGCATGATTGTGGTCGTGGCACCTCCATATGGTCCTTGTATATTATCTGCATTTCACAAAAATAAAAAAGGAAAAACAGGGGGTTATGAGCTTGTTGCGAGCAGAGAATGAACTTGAAAAAAGAGGACCATTATGTGTCGGAGAGAAAATGCTAGAGAAAAAATGAACATACCAGAAACATTGGTAGGCAACGACCAATCGAGAAGCTGGGAACCCCAAGCCTCCTTCTTTGTGTCGGTACTTCTTCACCTCTCAATGCAGCAGCCAAGATGCACTCATCTCACGCAAAATCGTCGAGTTCAGAGATGTCCTTCAGGCTAGCAAGGTACTCAAGGGCACCATGTTGCCGGTGCGAAGCACTAGCACAAGCGTGATTCATAAAAGAACCCAAGACCTCTCGATGGTCACAATTTCGTGGTTCCTCACCTTCTCAAGTACAAATATATCTTTCTCTTTATGACTGAAAAAGCAGAAAGACACATGTCATTCAGAAATGAAACATTGCAACAAAGAAAACCAAAAACACAAAAAGATGCGATGAGTGGGGGTATTTTTTTTATACCTAAACAAACCCTGCTTAGGGTCAATCTTCATGACTACCCGGTCTAGCAGCTCATCTGGTACATAAAAGGGGGAAATATTCATCAAAGAAACAAAGTTGCAATCATTTAAGATTCCCCTCTTGTCGTCATTCAGATGTTTCTCAGCAACCTGACGCAAGCGAGAAGCTGAAAAACGTGTTGTGAAGGACCCATCAGTAGGTTCTTCAATCTCATCATCCATTCTTGAGGCTCTGCAACAAATAGAGAAGAAATCTTGTTATACTGCCTTATGAAATCTATGCAACAACACCATTTAGAAAATCTTTGGATAAAACACAACACTCCCATTGCATTGGTCACTACGTGATGAAACAGCATCTACTGAGATAAAAACCAACTTATCTAAGCACTGGCGCACTATTGATCAAACAAAAAAAACACAAGAACCCACACTCCCTGGATATAAGCAACTGCAAAAGATCATATAATCCATTAAACACTGATGAAAAAAGCCCTATCACATTACCTTGCCCCATGCATGTAAATCACAAGCCCAAAATGCAAGGTTCAGTCTGTAAGCTCACCTGGTACAGAGAATGAGGCGATATTCATCATAGATCTGAAGCTGACTTGTTTATGACTACCCTCTTTTCATCATTCAGATGTTTCCGCGCAAACAGACACAACCAAGGCAAAAACACGTGTTGAGAAAGATCCATCAGTAGGTTCCTCATCATCCATTGTTGAGTCTCTGCAAAAACAAAAAGAACAACAACGACAACATATTATATCGCTTTGTTACAAACCTATGCAACAACAGCAGCGGAACAAAACACACTATGCATAAAAATATGGAATGATTTGAAATGAAGCACCACTGCCCACATTGCAATAGGAATGAAAAAAAAAGAAGCAATCATCACAGATAAAAACCTCAAAACAATGAGTATGCATATCAGTATGTGCTGCGAAAAACACTAGTATTACCGAAAAAACTGAAGCCCATCACTGTAAAAAAAAATGCAGGGTTGCTGTGCTTAGTATACTAACTAGAATGAGCATGCATCTCATTCTAGGTTCAGCATAAAAAAACAGTGAAGAAGAAGCAGAAAACTAAAAAAATGCTAAATGTGCCATCAGCTGAACTACTATACATATACAGTGAAGTACATTCAGAAACTAAACAAATGCAAGAGCCATATAGCTGCTGTACTATTATACAAATTCAGTGAGAGAAGCAGCAGAACTAAAAACACTACTGAACCTGTATGTGTGTTGCACTGAAGATGAAATGTCTTAACTATTATACAACAAATTTGAAAATGCCTGAAAATTCTATGCAGTAATTTGCTAGGTCAAATAATGTAGGCTATGATGTTGCTGCACTGAATCAAAAAGGACCGACCCCATTCTAACAAAATAAACCCTAGCATTTTCCATGATAAAAATTCGCTAGCGAAATCAGTATCAAAATACATGTGCTAAACAGATAACAACTTCTGTACTGAACCCGCACGTCTGAACACCATCTACTCTACAGCAAAAGAACACACCGCCGCCCAACTCCAACACCCCCCT